CTGCGATGTGTCTGTCTCACGGCCAGCTGCCAGGTTTGATTAATACTTTTTAATAAATACATGAATAAAGCACAAACATACTCAGTTTTGCCCCCGCTGTATTTTTAAATACGCAGTAGAGGTATTTAAAGGTAGTAGAGGACATGTACCTGTATATAAAAAACGCGCCCTATAGTCCGGTGCGCCTTATGTGTGTGTTAAATACAGAAATGGGACACATAACTGAGACTGCGCCTTTTAGTACGGTGCGCCTTATGGTCGTGAAAATACGGTAATTATTTGGAATTTGGAAAATTCCTTTAACTTTTCAGGTTATATTTTGATGTATCTGAAACATGCATGTTGCAAAAAAGCAAAAGAAATCTGAAAAAGACTGTATCTACCTCTCTTGGGACCTGTTATCGATGACATGGCCTCCCCTCTGGATTGGCTTCAGGATAATGAATCTATTTGTGTCTTAAAAATCTGACGTCCACCTGGTTTCTATTTCTGTAATGGTCTGAGGCTGGGAGTGAAAAAGCATCAGAACAGTAGAAGAAAAGGGATGAAGAAAGTTGCAGCTTAATATTATTTCTAAGTCTGCTTTTCTGACCATTGTAGGTATAAGACCAGAGATTCTCTCTGCTGATGTGTTTAGAGTCCAGATTGTGTTCCTCCAGAGCTATACCTCATAGAACAGCCACATAGAACATACGAAAATGCTTCTACTGGTATGAGATCAATCAGATTCTGTGAGGCTGCTCCCTCCTCCCACACACACACACACATTGGTTCTTGCAGGGATTGTCAAATATATCTGAACCAAGCTCCCCTGATAAAACAAAATCCATAAGTTTCATATTGATTACTTTCATTTCTTGTGAACTATTGACACAAACTGTTTGTTAAAGCTAGTGTTGCACCGATACAGATACACTAAATGGGGTTATCAGTATCGACGAGTCCCAACAAATGGGGCACCGATACCATTTTGAGAGCCAAAAGTTTATTCAAATATTGTCACCCGTTCCAGGTAGGCAATAAAAATGTCTACTGGATTCACTTTGTATTAGTCTTTTTCCTGCTTCAAAAAGTTAGGCAGCAGCTTGAGAAAGCCATGATGGCAATTATTTAATTATTAAATCCTGTTAGTTTGGGCCAACCAAAATACTTTCTCAGATGGAGAAAAGCAGAAGCACAGGTTACAAAGGTGAAGCAATGACCTTATCATTATGCTGACTCATACATGATGTCATGATTGATTTCTGTTATTTCACATTTTTTTAGGTAAAATGCATTAAAAGAAGACAGATTGAACCTAGTAGATAAAGTTTGTGTGAAAGCTTGCATTAAATCAGGTGTAAAAGTGTGGACTAAAGTTTAAAACTGGTTCTTGTATAGAGTTGGCTTTTATAGAGCTGGTTACATGTTATCAAAGAGAGTGGCTGATAGTTCCCCTGGTTTCATTTAGCGTGATATGTATGTGTGTATGGGGCTGTGAGTAACATTAAAGTGAGGACAATTTCTCCCATTTTACAGTCAAACTAAAGACTGTTACCAAAATGAGGACATTCTGCTTGTCCTCACTACATATAAAAAGATTAGTATGTGTGAGTCATTTAATGAACTCCAAGGATCTAAAATGATTTAAATAGGACCTCAGTTTTCAGACTAGCCTCATTCATTAAACCAAAATTATGCCAGGATGGAAAAAGCTACGGCACAGCACCAGTTAATTCTTCTTTTTTTCCTCCCTCCTGTAATAAAGCAGGAAATACTTGAACCAGAGGGTGGCGCTTGAGTAATTGATGTTATCAAAAACCAGCTGCACCTCTTTCCAAAGCTCACCTTTGATACAGTCTTAAACATCCCAGTGACATTTTTTTATTTTTAATCTTTCAGCCGCCTTGAAACCATATTTGAAGTCCCTCTCAATCGTAAGAATGGCTCAGAGTCCTGGTTTGGCCCGAGGCGTGTCAAGCGGTTCCTCGAGTTCTTGGAGGTCGGTGAGGTGAGGAAGCCGAAGAAGCCTCTCGTTGGAGTTGGGAAAGCAGGTCCTTCCTCATCAAGACCACGACGAGGAGGTTTTCCTAAAGATGGAGCGTCCCTCAGTGTTCAGGATGTGGACTCCCTGCTCTGCTCCAAGCTGGATGAGTTAAATCTGTGGCTGATACATGATCAGAGTAATGGCTGAAGGAAGAGTCTCCTGTAGCAATTATTGGGCTACAATGAAAAAGCAGTTAGTGCTGTTCCTGTGGGTTATTATGACGGCGGTCTTCTGCCGTTTAGGTCCGTTCAAATGCTGTTGTTGGAAGCTACAAATGAATCTCTCTGGCCTCTAAATAAAAGAACTGTACATCATGGCATAAAAAATATTGACCTGGAGAAATTATTTATAGGCATAAATATTTGTCTGGTAATGACCTGTAAAGCAAAATTTTATTTATTCCAAACATTTTGAAATAAAGTTTCTCTTTGTACATTAGTAGTTCACGTTTGTTTAATAGTTCTAGAGCAAGGACATTTTACAAGTTCTACAAGGGCAAGTTGAAATCAAATTGATATTAAATCCAATTTGATTTATTCTTTTATGAAATGAAGCAGCCAAACTTGCTTGTGTTTATCTCCTTGCAGCATCATTGTGAGTTATAATGGCAGCTATTTTTTTCTTTTTATATTAAAGCCTATATATAACTTTTAAAAGTGTCTGCGAGAGATTTGTATTTACTACCATAAACATTTTGTGTGTTTTTTTTCTTTATGTACAATCAAATGAATTTCCTACAACTTGGAAAATGCCATAAAAATGCCTTTTATTCAGCTCAGGGCGGAAACCGATCAATCATTTGGGTTAGAAATTACAAACCTGTGGTCTTATTTCGTTCCAGTGAAATGCTGAGCCTGTCCACAGCCATTTTTATTTTTTTATTCTCCCTGGATTTATTTGTGGTGTACATATATACACTATATTGCCAAAAGTATTTGCTCACCCATCCAAATTATTGGAATCAGGTGTTCCAATCACTTCCATGGCCACAGGTGTATAAATTCAAGCACCTAGGCATGCAGACTGTTTTTACAAACATTTGTGAAAGAATGGGTCGCTCTCAGGAGCTCAGTGAATTCCAGCGTGGAACTGTGATAGGATGCCACCTGTGCAACAAATCCAGTCGTGAAATTTCCTCGCTCCTAAATATTCCACAGTCAACTGTCAGCTGTATTATAAGAAAATGGAAGTGTTTGGGAACGACAGCAACTCAGCCACGAAGTGGTAGGCCACGTAAACTGACGGAGCGGGGTCAGCGGATGCTGACGCGCATAGTGCGAAGAGGTCGCCAACTTTCTGCAGAGTCAATCACTACAGACCTCCAAACTTCATGTGGCCTTCAGATTAGCTCAAGAACAGTGCGCAGAGAGCTTCATGGAATGGGTTTCCATGGTCGAGCAGCTGCATCCAAGCCATACATCACCAAGTGCAATGCAAAGCGTCGGATGCGGTGGTGTAAAGCACGCCGCCACTGGACTCTAGAGCAGTGGAGACGCGTTCTCTGGAGTGACGAATCGCGCTTCTCCATCTGGCAATCTGATGGACGGGTCTGGGTTTGGCGGTTGCCAGGAGAACGGTACTTGTCTGACTGCATTGTGCCAAGTGTAAAGTTTGGTGGAGGGGGGATTATGGTGTGGGGTTGTTTTTCAGGAGCTGGGCTTGGCCCCTTAGTTCCAGTGAAAGGAACTCTGAATGCTTCAGCATACCAAGACATTTTGGACAATTCCATGCTCCCAACTTTGTGGGAACAGTTTGGAGCTGGCCCCTTCCTCTTCCAACATGACTGTGCACCAGTGCACAAAGCAAGGTCCATAAAGACATGGATGACAGAGTCTGGTGTGGATGAACTTGACTGGCCTGCACAGAGTCCTGACCTCAACCCGATAGAACACCTTTGGGATGAATTAGAGCGGAGACTGAGAGCCAGGCCTTCTCGTCCAACATCAGTGTGCGACCTCACAAATGCGCTTCTGGAAGAATGGTCAAAAATTCCCATAAACACACTCCTAAACCTTGTGGACAGCCTTCCCAGAAGAGTTGAAGCTGTTCTAGCTGCAAAGGGTGGACCGACGTCATATTGAACCCTATGGATTAGGAACGGGATGTCACTTAAGCTCATATGTGAGTCAAGGCAGGTGAGCAAATACTTTTGGCAATATAGTGTATATTGTAACTCTAGTTGTCAGTTTGTTGTAAATGAGGTTACCTTAACTGTAAAATGTTTTCTTGTTGAAATGTGTCAGAATGCATCAAACAACTCCATGCTTAAGAACATTTTTATTAAAAAATACTTTGAACCTTGGTATAAAAGTAAAACATATGTATACATTTAAGGACAAACATAGGTAAAGAAACAAAGCAATAAGGCTAAGATAATGTCATTTTGAAGCACTGCCATCACCACCACTATGTCAGGGAAACCCATTCCTGATAAGTATATTGTAGACCTACATTCTGTAGTATTTGTGACTTAGTGCATACATACATAAGTATATTTCATATAATAAACTGTGTTAAGGAATGGGTTGTTACAGAAGTGTTTATGAAAGTGCTTTTGAAAGTGTATCACCCCTTAAAGATTTCCACAAATCAAAAATGTCCAATCGTTTAAACAAAATAGCAATGCTATATTTAGGCACATCTTTACTCAGTTTGGTTGTGTACATAGTCCAACCATGTGGAAATCTTAAGGGAGGCTGAAAACACTTCAAATGTGCCACATTGTAACCTATGGTGTTATATTTTAAAGGCAATGCTGGATTTTATCTGGTAATAATAAAAATTGTCTATGATAAATATGAGAAAGAAAAGCCATCTGTTTTTTCTATTTAATACAGGAAAATAACAGCTGTAAAGTAGAAAAGTAGTTTTTTTTCTCCATTTGTTTCATGTAACTTCTAATGCAAACTAGTGGTCACAGCTTTGTTTTGTTACTTTGCTCGATAAAACAAAAATCAGGAAATTTTCGTTTGTGTGTGTGTGCTGCTGTGGATGTTCAGTCGAACAGTGTAAGAATGTAGGAAATGAGAAATGTTAGTACAATAATGCTGATTATAGTCCCAATCCCTGTCACCATGGCGATGATACTGTATTTTTTCGACTTCTGAAAAAACTCATCAGCTTCTTCTTTGTCTCCTTCTTCTTCTTTGCCGTGCTTCTGTTCTCCCTGGGGAAGAAAAAACAGGATTTTTAAATTAAAAGCTGAATAAGAAAAGGCACGAATAAGAGGTGTTGTGCAGGCATCCAGATTTCCCTAACAACCACCTTATATGTGACAGGGTGAATGGAGGTTTTAGAGCACCCAAATGGAGAAACGGAAGCTGAGGTGGTCTCTTCTAGATTGAATATCCAAAAAACTTGAAACAGAAGCAAAAATCTAAAATAGCAAGAGACATCAGGGTAGACACACACGAGGAGACAAGAAACAATAGACAGAAGAATCTAAACACCACAAAGTTGAAATTAAACATATGAAAACTCAAAAAGAAAACTTAAACAGAAGCAAAATATGCATAACCGTGACATATATAACTTCACTGGCTTCCTCTTGTTACAGGATTGATTTGAAAAATTTTATTTATTCCTTTCACCTTTATAATGAAATATTTAATACAGCACCATACTGCATATATATAAAAAGATTAAGGTTAAACAGCCAGTTGCATATAGATTTGCAGGAGGTTCTGGCCCTAAAGGTAGATGGGATCATTCTGTCTATATCCTTAAAGTAAAAAAAATAAATAACTTTTTAATATTGATATTATCAAATCAATGTTATTCATGTCTTCTGAGCATTCTTTCTCTTTTTTCCATTATTCCTATTATGCAATATGTTCCTCTTGTGGAGCTCTTTGTTGTAATTTTTTTTTTTTTTCGCAAAGTGCTACATCATTCAATTTAAGATTGATAGAGTAACTAAAGTATGGATACCCTGCTTTAGCATTTTGTTACAGCTATGTACATGTTTAAGTGAATTTAATCATTAAAGCAGCCTACAGTAGTCCACAAAGTGTTGAGCTCAAGTGAGGCACTGCTTTTAGCTATTTTTAAAAACAAATAAACCAACTGCCTTGTCACTGCATTGAAGGATCTGGTTATAAGAAAAGATCCCATGCTGTGAACTTTATATTAAGATCATTAAAGCACTGCATTTTGTGTTCACTTTTGCTATCTGAGGATCTGAAACATTTACATGTAAGAAGCCAATAAAAACTTGTGAAATTACGATGGAATTGGGATTTATTACATAAACTATTTTGTTAATATATTATATATAGAATTTCTGGCTCTAGATGTACTAAGTTGGTAGACAGACCCCAAAATGAATATTAACAAATACGGCACATAATGGATGCAGAAAAGCATTGACTCAGGGGCCCTGAATAAAAACTCTTATGACACAAATATTTTTAACCTAAAAAAATCTTTGAAACCTAGCTCAAATTTCACTTCATAATTATATTTGTTTCCTGGAGCCACTGCACTTTATGGAATTGAAATGGTTGTTTTGTATACACTCTGTGTATACAGAATGACAATAAAAGTTGTCTATTTCTTGCATAAAATCCTAATAAAAATAAATACAACCCAAACCACTTCAGGCTGGATCACATGGCAACATTTGAAAATTGTCTGGTGACTTTCAAAACTTAAGAGACCGAACACTTTACACCGGCATGTTCAACACGGTTTATGATTCAGGGGACCTCAGGGTAAATTCATGCCACAACTTTTCCCGATAATTTGGCAAAAAATTATAACCATTTTCCATAAGTTGTATCTTATTAAAAAACTAAAAATGTAATTAATATATGCAAAACAATTCAGCTAAACCAGTGATCAAACATGATCTTTATCAGGGTCCTTGCCTTCTGTTTCTTCTTCACAGTGGATAAGAGAGGAAGAAATTATAGCAAAAAGGTACAGAGGTGTTTTCACCTTTAATGTGTTGTTTTCCATCAGATGAAGGGAGAGAATTAGGATAAATGAGTATTGTATGGTTCTGGTTCTCAGGAATGTGTAATAACACTGTGAACAGCAATTACAAGAATCGTGCGACACAAAACACAAAGCAGCAAATAATTGATTTAAATTGTAGAAATGAGCCCAAGCAGTAAAAATCTGGATGCCTGATTAACACCTAGAGTTAAACATCTGGAAGGAATGGAGGAAAATGTAGGAATACCTTGAAATAATACTCCAGTGCTTTGTAGGCAAAGCAGGAACATCCACAGATGATGCTGCAAATGGCCAGTCTTTTATAACATTTTATTTTATTTTTAATATTTATATACCCTGGAGTTTCTTCATGATTAGAAAATGGATCAGTTTCTCCTTTTTCCTCATCTTCCTCATTGGAATTCCGCATACCTTCAAAACAAGACAAGTTAAAGTGTTTTCACTTGAAACAAGATAATAGTACAGTAATCTAATCATACCATATTCATCCTGACTGGACCGAAAAACATAAAGATCATTGTTTCTACTGTCAGCTTAAGCAAATCACTAAAAAGGTTCCTAAGAGCTTTTAATGTGTCTTTTTTTCTTGACACGGAAAGTCCCAAGCTATTGGACAAAAAAAAAGCAACCAGACTTGAACGATTACGCTGAAATTGTTCAACACAGCCTGCTGGACTGGTTTGTTGTCATGACAAGAACAAAAATATGAGATACAGGATAATATCTTATCTGTTCTTGTTTTTCACTTTAGAATGGCAAACAGGAATACCACTTCGCTCTTGATCCTTTTTATTTTGTAATACAATGTGCCTAGTTCTGCTTTTCACTTGTGTAATACTGAACTGTCTTGTGAACAATGTCATGAGACCTGTTATTGTGGTTTCCCTAAAGCTTTTTTTAAATGTTCTAATAGGTTTATTGTTTTCAATGGTGATCATTTTCAATGTGAACATTCAATTAAAGCACAAACCTGGGCAAGCTTAAGAGGCGGTGTCTTTAATCCACTCCTGAAGCCAAGTTACTCCAGTGTTGACAAACGATGAAAACAGATTGAGGATTAATCTCCTGATGAAATTCCTCCTACAGTTGACTGAGTTATGTCTGCTCCTTCTAATAGGAAAAATATCAGCAAAAAGTTCCTCTCACAAACATCTGAACAGGATCAGCAAGTCAACTCCTCAGAGGGTGGTTTACACCTGAGAGCCGGTGCCGTATGTGCAGGACAGGAAGACGAGCCTGGACTGAAACTTAGTCTGGACTGAAACTTAGTCACACCTTCTTCACCGACCAGCCCTCTTTTTTTTTTGCTTACCTTATACGCACACGTAAAGTTCTCACACTTTTCTTCCCCTGATTATGTTGCATTACCTCCCTTGGTTCCTCCCCTACTTCCTGTAAATCATGTCAGTTACTCTGAAAAACACAGTTAGGTTACAGCCCAGTTTTCCTCCTCAGTCCACATTCCAGAGGCAGCAGTAAAGGTGTGTCAGTACTTGTAATGCCACAAGGAGAGATAGTTATCCCAGAGGTTTCAAAAACACATTTTCTGTCTCTAAGCTCATCAAAACACTGACAAACAAAATGTGCAGTTATGTTTCCCTAGTTTGTTATTGTCTATCTGTTCTCTTATCTACAGATAAGATTCATTTACACCCCGTTGACTCAGTGATGACAAAGAATGTTTCCTACTGTTGATGCAGAAGCTGTCCCATAAGGTAAACATGAGCATGGGAGTGGAACGATTCCAATGTTCATTAATCAATAATTGCAGCTGGATGGCCAAGATTTTTCAGAAATGTTAGTGTCAGCTCTGCTTTACAAGTATCTGCACGCTTATGCTACTAAAAAACATTAAAGGTGCTGTGCTTGTAAAAATATTCCAACCATTGCCTTTCATTTGGTTTTGCTACAATCACAAAATTAAATGTTTTATGTGGAGTTGTGTGGGGTAGACCAACTTAAATAAGCGCAGTTTTGAGGTGGACATAGTATCCATTGGTATTCGATCCCTTTGCTCTGCGTTCCCTTAATAACCTGGTCTAATTTATCTTTAGCTTACCATACTGCGTTAAAATGTGTTGCATTGAACTTACTTTACTCATAAACTTTAGTAAAGTAGTGCAGAACTGCTAAAAGGAAGGGAAATGTTGCTTAGAAATGTTTACAAATGGGGAAAAAATTTGCATTTGTTTTCAGCACTATAAAGTCAGTAAATATTTTGTAGAACATAAAATTGTCTTTGGGTACTGCTTATGCAGCTGTACACTTCTAGAGCCTGAAACTTTGCCCGAATATCTCTCTAAAAGTATATCGTTGTCTTGTTTGCCTCTATCACATTTTTCACCTAGATTGTACTGAATTTACCTGCATCCTTCATCTCATTATTTCCCTGTCCCCTTTAAGGTATGCACCTCTACAGCATGATGCTGCCACTACTCTGTTTTACAAGTGGTGGCAGCACGGAGAAATGTCAAAAATCTGAAAACTGCTAAAGTATTACAGAACCCTTTTTTAAGCTCACCTCTCTCTTAATTGGACACCAAAGAGGCTCAAACCTCAAATTGACATTGTGACAATGACAATAAAACATGCAAAATACATTGGCTGTTTCTTTTATCAATATTTGAAAAGCTATGCGATCGCCCTCCACATCCAAACCAATGAATTACTTAAATACTTGCAGTTCCTTTTAAAATAAAGCTTTTATTGGTTATTTTAAGAGACATTCAGTTGAGAGAGGAAGTTGGTAAGCATTAATTTGTTTTTTTATATCAAGAGGAACTAAAAATGTTATTTTTTGCTTTGATAGTGTTGTTAAAGAAGTATAGAGATAGTCATAGAAATTGCATTGTTTAATTGAGGATATAGAGGAAGGAGATTATACACTGTCAAGACAGAAACAGTTTTAATAAGGAAGGGTGGTGCACGGAAACAATGGTGAGGTGTGTGGTAACTATGGGATATAGGTTCATAGTGGAGGTGATCATCATTAATTGTGATTTTGCAAATGACACTTTAATTTGTAGTGAGTAGGGAGCAGGAGGAAAGATTGTTGGGGTCTCAGTGGGCCACAAACTTTATACTCATTTTGTGTTCACGGAGTGTATGTACTGAAACCAGTGAATGAGCATCTTACAACCGTGAAATAAAAATTGCCATTTATAAAGTGCAGGAATGATCAGGAATGTAGACAGTTGAGGAGAAAGGGAAGCCAGTTTAAAGGTACTTGTGCAAAACGGAATGATATGTAAAGGTTCAGTGCATTGCAAAATAAATAAATATGATGAACAAATAGCGCCAATTAACAACACATGTCATCTCAAGGCACTTTACAGTTCACCAGATCATACAGTCAAATTGATTCAAAGTTTTCTATCTAAGGAAAACCAGTTGAATGCATTGACTCATTGACTTGAAAGCAATCCCTCACACTAAGCATGCTTGTAGCGACAGTGGAGAGGAAAAACTCCCTTTTAACAGGAAGAAACCTCCAGCAGAACCAGGCTCAGAGTGAGCAGCCATCTGGGGTTTAAGGAGACAGAAGCAGAGATTCAAGAAGCAAAAACATTAGCCAGGCAGACGAGCTCCAAGCTAGCTCCCATGTCAGAGGATGAAGAGAGCCGAGACTGTGATTTAAAAAATGTCAAGTAGGTTTTCATTTAAACTACTATGTTCAGAGAATTAGCTTCCAACTTGGCTTCCCACTTTTCCTGCAGTCTGCAGGAAATTTATTTAACATTATTTTGGTATCATTTCAAATGCAATGGACATGGAAACAGAAACAAACTGAAAAAAGAGCAAAAAAAAAAAAAGAAAGTAGAGAGGTGTGTTAAACATTTAAAAGGGAGAGAATAAGATAAGAACAGAGGAGAAAAAGAAGGATAAAGAAAATACAAGATAACCTCGGCCTGATTAAACACCTACAAAGAGATAAAGAACAAAGGAAAAAATACAGAAAAAGTATCACAGATTATATATATATATATATATATATATATATATATATATATATATATATATATATATATATATATATATATATATATATATATATATATATTTTATGTTAAACAAAATAAAATAAAATAAAAATCTATTTAATTTCACATAACGCTCTGTTTTCATAGGGAACTGTCAGGCGTGTATCCCTTTAAAAGCCCCGCCCTTACATCTCCATCCACCAATGAGAAGTTGAGTTTCAAAGAGCCCGGATGTAAACACGGAAATAGGGTATTCAAAGTAGGAGTTGTCGACACGTCACACCAAAACACCATCATATGTATTTTCTAAAATCATATCACTAACAGCTTACATTATTATTATATTTCCAACTGATATCTTCCACAAATTGATCATGGACAAAAATACAGGTTCGGTTTTGGCTACAGAGAGGTATGGCAGTACACAGGCTTGGAAATATTTAGTGAATAATGGAGTGTTGGAGAGGAAGAGGGATGGGAGTGAGACTCAATCAAGAGACAATCCGGTGGTTGGATTCTTTAAAGTAAGAATTGGATTTTTTTTGTTGTGTTTTTGTTGTTTGTTTGTTTTGCTAGGTATAATTAAAATGAACTTAAATCCTAATTGGTTAGTGTTGGATTTCAGAGCGTCTTTCTGCCTCAAGGCTACCCAGAGAGTGTCAGCAGTGATTACCTGCAATACCAATTCTGGGATACTCTTCAGGTACAATTACCTTTCAACAGCATATAAATTATCCTGTAGTGTCAGTCTGAAGCTTTTCGGTTTTTTACAGGCTTTTTCTAGTTCCCTGTCGGGCACTCTGGCCACTCAGGCTTCACTCAAAGGAGTTGGAGTTGGAAACCAGGAGGCGACTGTAGCTGCAGCCACAGTTACTTGGTTATTAAGAGGTGCAACTTTAACATAAACTACTAAAAGGCAGCATTTGTTATCCATTTTATTTCTATTTTGTATTTTAATTATCTTTTATCACAGATGGAACTGGTATGCTGGGAAGAATCCTCTTTGCCTGGAGAAAAGGGTAAGATTGTTTTGTGTTTTTGCAGCTCATCATATGCTTTTTAGTTTTAATTTGATTTCTTTCTACACTCTAGGAGTAAACTGGACTCTGAGGCAAAAAAGTGGAGGTATAAACCCAAGTTAATGGACTTACGCGTAAATACTGAGCTGTTACAGCTTTGATTGTAGCGATGTTTTTATCTTGTAATTCCCTTCTAGGCTTTTTGCAGATGTTCTCAACGACATTGCGATGTTCATGGAAATCTTGGCCCCTCACTTTCCAGCCTGCTTCACTTTAATCGTTTGCACTGCAGGGATATTCAAGGTAGAACTTGAAAAATAATTTCAAGTTTGAGAAACATATGTTGAATTTAGTGTTCTGTGGGATCCAAGTGATTAAAGCTTCAGGCTAGATGAAAAGGAAATGTCCCATTATAGTCCTGCTGTGGGGAAATATTTTCCCTGTATTTAACCCACCCCTAACAAAGCAGCTTGCTGCCACACATAGTAGTAGAAGGGCTCGTTAGGGATTAAATATTAGGGACCATCACCCCTAACTACATCAGCTATTTTGTGTTATGAATTTTAGGATAGAAAAGAGTGAAAACCTGATGGCTTTTTTTAATAGATCAGTTTTACAGATAACGCTGAGAGGTCCTTCCTGTTTGGCTGACCATGGATACTGTGTAATCCATACATCTAGTTATAAATTTAGCCCAGTGCTCTAACGGGATGACACTGATCCCAGATAACTAAGCTCAGAATGTATTTCAAAGTTCCATGTTTTTCAATTATCGAGGAGATGTTATTTACTGTTAACATGAAATTGTTACAAGAGCACAAAATAAAATAAAAAGGTCCATGCATCTTAATAGGGTTTCTTGTAAAAGACTAGGCTGGTAAACTCTTAGGTTGCTTGTTCATTTTCCCTTTTCTTTTCAAGTCAATAGTTGGAGTTGCTGGTGGTGCAACCAGGGCTGCACTTACTGTTCATCAGGCGCGCAGGGATAACATGGCGGATATATCAGCCAAAGATGGCAGTCAGGTAACCTTTGCTTTTAAAAACATGAATCAAATGTTCCAGTAAGATTGAATAGGCAGCAAACCAACACTTACTGCTTGTAAGTCTTATTTAGTTTTCAAAAGGCAACAAATACAGGTGAGGACAGAAGACCTCATTTCTGGAAAGACACTCTTTTCCATAACCACGCCCTTTTGTTATCCACAATTTCTATTATCCGAGGAATTCACAAATGTGATCTGAATATTTAAAAAAAAATGTGGTGACATTCTCCAGTGTATGTTATCTAGAAAATCTGTGTTATTTCTCAATGCAGCAAAAATGGCTGTTTAGAAGAATAGTAAACGATGAGAACAGATCACAATCAGAATTTTTTCCCCAGGTACCTGTACAGGTGCTGGTCATAAAATTAGAATATCATGAAAAAGTAGATTGATTTCAGTAATTCCATTTAAAAAGTGAAACTTGTATATTATATTCATACATTACATACAAACTCATATATTTCAGATGTTTATTTTGTTTAATTTTGATGATTACAAATGACAACAAATGAAAATCTCAAATTCATCATATCAGAAAATTAGAATATTACTGAAGACCAATAAAAACAAAGGATTTATAGAAATGTTGGCCAACTGAAAAGTATGAACATGAAAAGTATGAGCATGTACAGCACTCAGTATTTAGTTGGGCCTCCTTTGGCCTGTATTACTGCAGCAATGCGGCGTGGCATGGAGTCGATCAGTCTGTGGCACTGCTCAGGTGTTATGATAGCCCAGGTTGCTCTAATAGTGGCTTTTAGCTCTTCTGAATTGTTGGGTCTGGTGTATTGCATCTTCTTCTTCACAATATCCCATAGATTTTCTATGGGGTTAAGGTCAGGAGAGTTTGCTGGCCAATTAAGAACAGGGATACCATGGTCCTTCAACCAGGTACTGGTAGCTTTGGCACTGTGTGCAGGTGCCAAGTCCTGTTGGAAAATGAAATCTGCATCTCCAAAAAGTTGGTCAGCTGCAGGAAGCATGAAGTGCTCTAAAACTTCCTGGTATGTGGCTGCGTTGACCCTGGCCCTCAGAAAACACAATGGACCAACACCAGCAGATGACATGGCACCCCAAACCATCACTGACTGTGGAAACTTTACACTGGACTTCAAGCAACGTGGATGAAGTGCCTCTCTTCTTTTCCTCCAGACTCTGGGACCTTGATTTCCAAAGGAAATGCAAAATTTACTTTCATCAGAGAACATGACTTTGGACCACTCACCAGCAGTCCAGTCCTGTTTCTCTTTAGACGCTTCTGACGCTGTCTGTGGTTCAAGAGTGGCTTGACACAAGGAATGCGACAGCAGAAACCCATGTCTTTCATACGTCTGTGTGTGGTGGTTCTTGAAGCACTCACTCCAGCTGCAGTCCACTCTTTGTGAATCTCCCCCACATTTTTGAAGGGGTTTTGTTTCACAATCCTCTCCAGGGTGCGGTTATCTCTCATGCTTGTACACTTTTTTCGACCACATCTTTTCCTTCCCTTCGCCTCTCTATTAATGTGCTTGGACACTGAGCTCTGTGAACAGCCAGCCTCTTTAGCGATGACCTTTTGTGTCTTGCCCTCCTTGTGCAAGGTGTCGATGGTCGTCTTTTGGACAACTGTCAAGTCAGCAGTCTTCCCCATGATTGTGTAGCCTATAGAACTAGACTGAAAGACCATTTAAAGGCTTTTGCAGGTGGTTTGAGTTAATTAGCTGATTAGAGTGTGGCACCAGGGGCCATCAATTTTGAACCTTTTCACAATATTCTAATTTTCTGATATGATGAATTTGAGATTTTCATTTGTTGTCATTTGTAATCATCAAAATTAAACAAAATAAACATCTGAAATATATGAGTTTGTATGTAATGTATGAATATAATATACAAGTTTCACTTTTTAAATGGAATTACTGAAATCAATCTACTTTTTCATGATATTCTAATTTTATGACCAGCACCTGTATATATGAGGAATTTGACCTCAATTGTGCAACATGCTTACTTATATAAGAACATGATGATAAAAAAACTGAAAGGCTGTGGAATAAAAAGCTGTAGTTTTGTGACTTTTTTCAAAGCCCATAGAATTTAAAATCTTGTCAATTAAACTCCAGACTAGTGGAGGTATTGGTATGATGTAATGTTCTAATCTTAAATATGTGTTTTACTCGCTGCATTTTTATTTATTAACAGCCTAATATTTTTGTAATTTTCTGCAGGAGACTTTAGTGAATCTTGCTGGGCTCCTGGTTAGCCTACTACTGATACCTCTGGTCACTGATAATCCGGTGTAAGTTAAGATGCAATATTTATAAACGCCATATATCTTTCAAAATTAATCTAATTGTTCCTTCCTTGTGCTTTTCAGCTTGACTCTCATCCTGTTCTTCCTCTTTACCATCCTTCATCTCTTTGCCAACTACAAAGCTGTGTGTTCAGTGGTCATGGAAACGTTCAACGAGGCCCGTCTTTCCATTGTGTTGCAGCAATACCTGAAGGACAGGCAGATCCTGAGTCCACTTGAGGCGAATCAGAGAGAACCCGTATTCCTAGGTGTGTAAAACCCAAAACATCTTTAAGCTTTCAATTTGGATTTTAAAGTGGGTTCTTGTAATGTGATAAATGTCATATGTTTTTTTTTTCTTTAGAATTTGGAAAAACTGCACCAATTAAACTTGGTGTGAGGTTACAGGACGCTGTACGGAGGTAACTATAGATACATGACCACACAAATGAAGCTCAACACAGTTTTCAGTCACTTTGTGTGTTTTGTAGCCCAGAGGAGCTGAATTTGGCTTTAAAGGAAAACAACATGCCTTTCCTGCTGGGAGTTAGAAATGGTATGCTAGCTTCTTTTTTTAAAGGATGTCTTGTGTTTAACTAAAATTTCATCAAGTTCTTAACACTTTTTCTCTTTGCAGGTTGTGTTTGTGTTTGTTTGGGGGCAGAAGCATCGGTCCATAATGAAATCAGAGCAGTATGCCAGGCTGTGTGTATCAGCAACACCTTAACTTGTCCAACAGCTGCAGTAACAACATCTACAAAACCAAAGGAGCAAAGTGAGTGAGCTTTTCCTGCATGTCTTTTAGTTAGCAAGATGTTTTAATATTTTGTTGCATTCACAGTGCATTCTTCCCCCCTACAATTTAAGGTTTGTGGGAAATAGTGCTTGACAGTCACAAGCTGATGGATGCCCATTTCTCTCCATTTCTCAAAGGTGAGTTTGCACAGAATAGATTGAACTGTTAGTATATCCCTGTGTGCAGTATTTGTTTATACATTTATAATATTTAGGTGTTAAAGCTGCCGGATGGGACACAAAAAGGACTTTGTTGGACTGGGATGAGTGGAGAGTTGAGTGGAAAACAAAAACCACCTGAGCTGCTTTATTGTTTCATTTTTAACTGCAGCGTTTCTATTTCAGTTTAATGAGCAGCTGTATTTCTCTGTGTTTTATCATTCTTTCAAAATAAAAGAAGGAATTGATTTGAGGCAGTGTTGGAGAAGTAAATATTTTTGTATAAGTAATATGTAATTTCTGATTAAAGACGATATTCAAACAATCAGTTGATTTGTTTTGAACCTTCACACACATATATACTGTCCTCATTAGAAATTTACAAGCTCCTCTCATGGGCATGAAAAGCATTTTATTTGGGATCTTTAGTTATTTATTTTAATCTTTCTACAGCTGCAGTTTAAAGACAGTGTGATGCAAGGGCGTAGGTTTGATTTTAACTTTGGTAGTATGTAAGATATGTAAACATTTTGCATTTAAGATTTTAAAGAAAGTTTTTGTCTGTCAATATTCTCCATCCAGAACTCCTGAAGAGGAAACGTTTCTGTTTCAACTGGTTTCATTTAGTAAAATATCTTCTTTAAGGAGCCTTTGGCTATCTGAAATAAAAGATACAGTTCCACAAATCAAAAAACTCTGTCCTGCTTCTTTACAGAACGGCAATCAGAAGCTTTTGCTTTTTTTAGCATAGATAATTTTTAGTTTTAAGTTTAAGGCAGAATAATCAGAGAGTTAAACAATGCAGCACAGTTGATGCGCTGCTATGTAAAAGGGACAGGAAAGACCAGGCAGCTGCAGATACCAAGCATAGGAGCTGCGGGAGGAAAAGAAGCCACTGCTGCTGCAACAACGCTGAATAGTAAATTATAAACACGTTGTCCACATCAAATTATTGGTAGGGACAAATAGGTCGGTCCATAATTTTGGTAGGGACATGTCCCTATGGTCCCTATGCAAACCTACACCCATGGATGCATGAGTTTAAATTCCCAGTTGATTTTCTGTAATCCATACAGTCTAAGATACTTACATACATTCAACAACAGTGTTGAATAACCCAGATCTTTTTCGCTTAAAAGACCAAGTTAGTCTTTCAAAAGTAACAATAGTTAACCAAAGCTAGAGCCTCTATTTGGGCTATGAAAAAGGATTTTGCACACTTGGTTGGATTGACTGGTACTCAGGACAACACAGAAGGTGACAACAGATCAAGGAAGGAGAATTTTAGATTTCTGAAAGTTAGAAACGTCGTTTGTAAACAACTTTGGAGATGCAGCAGCAACAGGCTTGTTGCTGACCACTTAAAACTATCCTGAGTACATAAATTATTTACCAAGGTCTAACAAAAGGTCCCAACTGGTGATCCAAAAGCAATCTGTCAGGATAATCCACAACGCCTTCAAGAACTTCCATGGCTGAAACCTAGCATGTACATGGAATTGCAGGAACACCAGTCCCCCTGGTTACTGAAGCAGGTTTGACATCACTATATAAGAGGGTGCCGACCAGATAAGGGGCAATCAAATTTTTCTACCCACTCTAACACTGTAAACCCATACTGCTGCATATCTGCAGAGGGCCTAAAATGACTGAGATTGGTTTTTGCCATGTCAGCAGACCCAGTGACGTTGGAAAAATGTTAAGTTCACAAACATTATGACTGAAATACATAAGATGGAGGAAGATAAGACAAGGCTTTCAAACATAGGATTTAGCTTACTGTTCAGAAGAATAAAAAAAAAAAAAAAAAAAAAAAAAAAAGGACTAGGACAAAACTACGTTTTGGTAATAAAAACCAGTTACAACCCAATTTGGAGTTCTTCAAAGCTTCATACTCAGGCTACTTTTTTAGATTTCTGTATCTTCCGTATAGCTCAGATTATAAAGCACTGCAACATATCTTACTTTTCACTTCTCAGATATAATAAGTGGAACGAGACAGAAATCCTTCCTGCTTATTGTTGAAACACATAAGTCCAGACCAAGACTTAGGAGGGCCAATAAAAATAAATGTATGCAGGGTCTGTTAAAAAAAATAATAATAGTAATTGTAGGAAAATGTATCAATATCATGCATATTGGTATCAATTTCTTGCTCTGAGGCCCTTTAATTATTATTATTTTATTAAAAGTTGATGGGGGAATAAAGGCTCTCCACTTTCTAATTTTGTAATTAGAGTATTCTAATCCTAAAATTAGTGCTACATTTGTGCGTGTGTTTTTTTTAAACTTTATTTAGCAATAATATATATCAAAAGATACTGACAAAAACTAAACAAAAACTTCACAGAAAGAAACCTTAACATGGAACAGAAGGGACAATGTTATACAGTATAAATCATAGTTAAAGATCAGAGCATTAAACAAGGAGAATAAATGTATCTAATAAGAAAGCAATTTACCAGCACATCTGGCATGAGATTTTACTTCATTATTCCTTTGGATATAATTATATTAAACTTAGTGAAACAACTCAGGGAAGTTGGTTTAAATTGGGTGTTTGAATATTCAACTTCCAAGGATCTTGACATCTAGCTCAGTCGCCTGGGGAATATTCAAATACACAATTTCAAACAAACCAACTTCACCACGTTTAAAGAAACTAAAATAAAAATTTATAAAAAATTTAAAATGAAATAAAAAAAAATTATGATAATAATTAAATTATTTACATTTAATTATTTATAAAATTAATAATTAAAATTAAATTATCTATACCATACTCCCTATGCCGTGTGCGTGTAATAATTTTTCTGGAAAGACGAACCCGCAAATCACTTGGTCTCTAGATGGCAGTGTTAAAGTATTATAATAAAAAAAGAAAAAACACGAAGAAGAAACAATAACATTTTCGTGGTACATGATTAAATCGAGGGGAACAAGCTTGCAATGAAGGTTGTACTTTATTAAAATTATACGTTTCCTGTTACCATTTTAAAAAAAGAAGAAGAACAGAATGTTAAATAGTTTGTTTGTTTTTTGTACCCCTGACGATTATTTCCATTATTTCAGCTATTATTTTGAAAATCTAGACCGGAAATACAATATACGTCATTGCTACTTCATATCCTGTCGTCTTAATTTTTAACGTTAGGAAAACAAATACGTTTTACTGGAACTTAAATTGTGTAATTAATGGGAAGGTATAAGTGTGCGTACAACTGCGAGGATTCAACTGACCCGGATATAAAGTTCTTTAAGTGAGTCCTCAGTTAAGTTTGACTGTTTAGTAGTACATAAAACAGATAGCTATCCATTGTGACATCCATTGTGATCAAAGATATCTATTTATTGAAGGCCAATTAAAAATGTATTTGTGCACCAATGCTCCCAAAATGCTTGGTGTTAAAATATCAAGGCATTTAAAGCAGAAAAGCGAGATTTTTTCAGACCTCTTTGGAAATCCGACTGCTTCATCAGTTCTCTACCTACCACCACAATGGACTGCTGGACCCTGTCTATTTAATGTTTTCTAAAGTCATAACAATACCTTATAAAACATGTATTTAATTATTTGATTATATTTACTACCATGTCCTGCATGGTGTATAGTATGACACATAATGCTCTGAAGAAGATGACAGGGTTATGAAAAGATGGGATTTTGCATCCATCTTTTCCTAAAAACCACCTCTCCATCTAGCAGTCTGTAAGAATTAATCATTCAGCTAGTGTCAGATTTATGCTGTAACTTATTTCCTTTTTCTTGAAGATGCCTTTCAGACACTAAATAAACAGTGATCTCCACACCGTGTAATATGAAGTCAGATTGAGGAACTGAACAAATGATTTGGGAATAATCCAGCAAAATACAAAGAAAAACTTTTGAAGATATTAAAACGCTGGGAGAACTATTGAGTTCATGAAATAATGAGTGGCCTAAGACATTATTAACTGTTAATATAATGTAAAATGTATTATTTTTAATAGCTAGAGGACATTGAGTCAAATGGGTCTGAGTAGAATAAATACATTTTGAATGAAAGAGCAAAGAATAAATCTGCAGTATTATGACTAACATGCTTAAAACGGAGGCAAACACATTTTGGGTCTTTTTCTGTTTATTATGCACCGTCAAAATAGAAGCATCCTGTCTGACATTAATTCTCAAGATTTCCATGATTATACATTGTAAATCATTTGATGTAGTGGACCGTCATAAAGTTAAATCTGTTCTAATGATCTGCATGTTATTCCAGGTTCCCAATATACAATCCCAAAAAACTCAAAAAATGGGTCTCCAACATGAAGTTGAAAGACTGGACTCCGACTCGCTTCTCCGCGCTGTGCATCAACCATTTCGAGGAACAGTACATCGACAGATCAGGGAAATGTGTGACGCTACGAGATGATGCAGTCCCCACCATATTTTTACCTCATGACAAAACAGAGAAAAATAAGGTTTGAACTTTTGTCAGGTCAGATCTTCTAGTTAAACAGCTTTGAACAGAGTGTCAGTGAAATATGTATCTTAGACTCATGTCCCTTTTTATGCAGACTTCTGCCAGCCCTGGGCGTAAAAGACTTAAGGTCAGATTCTTATTCATATTTATTTAATTTTCCATACATATTACATTTTTTGGTGAAAATGTGATGTTCTCTAGCTATATAAAATCAACTGAGAACAAAAAATAACATGTGCTTCACATTTGATTTATTTAATTCCATGTGAATCCAGCCTCTTGGACCCAAAACCTCAGAGAAAGACTCAGCTTCCTCTTCAACATCTCCCTCTGAAGCCACAAACAACAGCATAAACAAAGAGCTAGACCAGAGAGAGGAAGAGCAAACAGGGTAAGTAATACTAGGAAAAATTGCTATTTAAATGTGTTGCCATAAATCAATACTGTTACTTACAATATGTCAACTTTATAGGTCATTTAATTAATCCTCTAACCAGAAGAATGAGATTAATCTCTAAAAAGTTAAGTTTTAACACTGAGCATCGTAAACCAGATACTTGGTGGAAAAAAAAGGTTTTTATTGTTAACTAAAACTAAGGAAATTATGAAAACTAGAGTAAAAAAAAAACAAATTTGTCGACTGAAATAAAAATAAAGATTAAATTGCAAAAAATGAAAACTAACTGAAACTGTATTGAGTTTAGAAAACTAATTAGACTTACTGAATTGTAAGAGAGAATGGGACCTCATGCAGCAACATTTCTAAATTCTTGTTGTAAATTGGGATCTTATGAACGCTCGACTGCAGATTTAACAAACATTCTTAACCTCAGTAAGTGATCATAAAGGATCCTCGTAAACCTGAAGCAGTCCAGCCGTGCATGTGTGAGTGCACGTTCCCAAGAAATGTAAATCTGCACGATTACTATCCCAATCATATGAGGGGAATTCCCAGGCTTGTTCTTTCACTGAAATTCCATTGAATACGAAGAAGGTAGACTCTAGCAGTTCGGAGATTGAGGTTCTACTGATGGAGAGCCGAGCGGCAGAATTAAAGAACCAGTAAAAGCCAAGCAGTGGGAAACTGATTACGAGAAATTATATGCAGCGGTTTCACTGTTACAGAAGTAAAAATACATTGATCCAAAGACGGTCAATGAAAACTACTGATGCAGGCAAGAGATGCAACATAAAATGTTTAAATGCTTAATATGAGTTGGCTATCAACAAACATGACGCATCATTTTTCTAAATCTTCTTTTGATATACACACAATAAATTAAACCAGTTCTCTGGATATCATTAATCCTGCTGCAGATGTAGTGACCAATAGTTGTGTCCTTGGCGATAAAAAGGTCATTTATAATTGCAGATTTGCATAATATATAAGGACGTAGCCTAATAAAACTGCTAATTGCTTCTAAGTAACAACAGATTTGGTCATTTAGAGGAAAAACTAGGTTTGGATAACAGGTGACTGACTTTGCATGACTCCTACTTCAAGTCTGAAGGATTTGTAAAATTTGTTCGTACCTGATGGAAGATTAAAACTGGGAAAAAAGGCGAATGGACTTTTTCCTAAATACCTCGTATAAACGATTTAAGAACTAATTTTTCATATGAGGTCTAGTTTCCGGTTGCTGTTTTAGATTGTTTTCACTGGACGGCGTTACGCTTGCAGAGGGCAGGTAACTGTCAGTCATTTGTGTTGCTGCAGCGCTCTGTGCTTATCTGGGATTTTATTTATGTTTATTTTCAGTCTTTCTCCTGGTATATAAGTTGTTTTACATAAAAGACTAATATTATAACTAAAACTAAAAACAACAAAACTGAAACAGCATTTTAAAAGTTTCAAAAAGTAAAAACTATACTTAAAAAACTTGCTAACAAATGCTAAAAAATACATTAAAATTAAAATAGAATTAAAGGTTAAAAACTAAACAGAAATAAAAACAAACGGCCATTTCTAAGCTGTTCCAAACCTTGGTCACTTTTTCTTCTCAAAGCTGTTTGTTGCTAAATAACTTTTAGTGAGTTTACTAAAATGCAACCAACAAAGCTGTAAATATGTGGTGCTGTATAACTACAGTTTGTTTTGTCTAATTTAATTGTTTTTCTCTCATTTTTCATATTTTGATTTTTGTTTACCTGTTTGATACGTTAAATGTTTCCATGTTTATGATCAGAGATAAAGACCAGAGAAATGTTGAAAAGTGGAGAATCATAGTTGACGAGAGGCTGAGAAAGATCGACTCGTTTCCACATTTCTTTCATGGAGATTACTGTGTACCACAGGTATGTTTGTCATCTAAAGTTATTGTGAAATGATGTTTGGAATAACTTTTGTATTATAAGCTTAAATATAATTTAATTTAAATCAGTGCCCAATATTTTTCTTTATGTGGTTTAACAGAATATCCAGTGGGCTCCAGATGAGGATTTTAATGTAAGTTGTTAAAAAATATTTGTTAATAACATTATTTTTTTTTTTGACAGATCGTGTTTATTTGTTTGTATCATATTGAAATCTCATTATAATTTCTGCAGGTGTACTGTCAAGACTCTGACAGTGTTATAGAGGTATGTTCATTTTCATAATTAAAGTTTGAACGAATTGGCCAAACTACAACAAACAAGTAAGAATTTGGGATTCTTCTTGACTCTACGTTATGGTTGCAGGTGAAAGAGGCATGGCAGTGGCTGGGATTGGACGTCAGAGGACCGTTGCCCCAGACGCTGAACCGACACAGGTATATTTTATCGCTGACAGACTTTTACTCCAGGTGGGTGGAGGCCGTTCCTATGCAGTCCTGCCTCCCCTCTGATGTGGCCAAGAGTATCGCAGACATCATTGCCCACTTTGGATATCCGCTGAGGATTCTCTCCAGGCTGCCTCACGACATAGTTCACAGAGTGAGTGGATGTGTTACTAGACTGCTAGAGTTGATAATTCACAGAGTAGTTTATTCTCAGATTTTTATAAATTACAGCCAATGAAAACCCAGAATGGTGTTTCTCTGAAATCTGTGATATTCCATGAGAATATTAGAAGTTGATTATTAAATGCAGTGATGTAGCCCTAAATAAAACAATGCCCCTACACCTTATGGTATCTATACGCAACACATGATCGGGCCTCCTTGTGCATGAATTTATTCAGTGCAGCATGAACTATGTAGTTCTGCTGAGGTGTTAAGCCTTAGCAGCTCAGCTTGCTTTAAAGAACCAGCTACTCTGCAGGGTCTGGTGCCTCTTCTCTTCCCCTTAAAGGAGTCATAGGCTGGTATTCTTTTGTATACAATCCTTCCAAATTTTTCATTAAATTCATGTTTTATCATTTTAGAAGAAAATAAATTAAACATCCAATTTGGACACATTTTCTTACCCCATTTTGTCTCATGAAAATTTGGCTTTTTTGTACGCATGTTCATTTCGATGTGGTGTTAGCAACATAAGCAGTATGCTTTGTTCGTTTGCAATTGCTACCCGGACTCTTACATAATAATTAGATATCCAGGCACCCTTTGAAACTGAAGTTCAAATGAAATGCAAAATGTACTTTCATTAAAAAGAAGGATTTTGGGAAACTGAGAAAAAGTCCAGTCCTCCTCCTGCTGAGCCTGGGTTATACACCTGTGAAGTTCTCTCTGGTCCTGGTTGCCTCTGTTTCATTGTTCCTCAAACTCTAGCAGCAATCTACCTCCCCCAAACTCCTGAATGGGCTTTGCTTCACAATCCTCTAAAGCAGAGGTCTGCAACCTTTCATATTCAAAGAGCCATTTTGACCCAAGTCCGGCTAAATAATTGTCGTCGGAACTGCAAAATATTACATGACTTTAATAAAACACAACCAGTTACTTTGTTAAATAGCTTCCACAGGAAATCTGTTGTCACCTTAAACAGCTAACACTTTATATTTTAGGGAAAAATTAAAATGGGTTATTAAGATGAAGGATGGATCTTAATCTATAGGCACTTTGAAACGTGACATCACAAGACCCCGCCCCGAGTTTGCGCTAGAGCCGCGTATTGTTTTTAGAGGTCAAGTTCCAAGCTGACGCGCTAAACCTTAAATTTACATGTGAATTAAAATCAATGTAAGTCAACCAATTTGGACTGAAGAATTATATTACAGACTAACATTTCTATAAATAATTGAAATACTGAAAATATACGGCTTGCTTCTAGTATTATAACATAGATGTATATGAATGTCAAATGATCTTACCCTGCTTTGCATGTGCAGCAGGCAGACACCACATAGCCTTAATAGGCAGATCCACACCTGGTGACGCCCTTTCTTGTTGGTCATCTTCTGCGATGGCATCATGGCACTCTTCAAGAAGCACACTACGTTCATGCGACCATCGCTGTGATTAGATGGTTGCACCACATGTCCAGACACTAAGAAGTTATATATTTCTTATGACTTGTATGCCTGTAGCTGTGTAAAGTCCTGTTTTTTTAATGAGATAATTGTAAATATCCTGATACTGAACATGCAGCCAATTTTGAGGACTGTTAATCCACAGACAGTCAGCTATTTGAAACCGATCTGGAAGCTTAACTTTGCTGCGTACCTTTTGCAGTCCTCTGCAGAAAGATGATCTAAATCAGTAATACTGACATCTCCTAGTTTCATGTTAACAGAAATGTCGTCCCGCAACAGCATGACTGTGTTTGGCTGTGGTGTTCGGCTAGTAAAACAAGCTTTTTGGCCTCCAGCATTGTGCGCATGCACAAAAGTAAACAATAACATTCATCGTGTCTATGAGGCAATATTTGATCATAATAAAAGACATAATTTCCTAGCTAGTTAGAAAAAAAATAGCTCTAAAAACATATTTCTGGTGCCTATAATGTCATTGTGTTGTGAAAATGCAATTCAAATATAGACGAGTATTTGTTTTGAATAGTACATTAGGTAATTCCTTATATCATTTTTAGTCACTATTAAGAACCATAGTGTAAGGTCCAAAGAAACACATGCAGGTTCCAGAGCAGCAGGTTGCAGACCCCTGCGCTAAAGGCTCCAGTTAATCCCGTTGCTAATGCATTTTCTCACCTATTTTTTCCTTCCACTCAACTTTCTTTCACATTTCTGCATACAATGGCCTTCTTTGTGCATGATGTTTTGTACCTTCCTTGTGTAACTGACTGCTTCTCCATGACTGTGCAGGCTACAACATGTCTGTTAAATAACATTTGAGTGTCAAATCTTTTTCCTGGTCTTTTGTAATATTCTAAGAAAAAAACTGTTTTGAGGGTTTTCAGTAGCATAATCAGCAATAATTAAAATTATTTTTTAAAAAGCCCTTGAAATATATTACTCTTTAATATAAGTGAGTTTTACCTTTTAAATTAGATTAAAGAAAACCCTTCTCAGATGACATACCTGTTTGTATGTTTTTTCTAATAAACTCATCTTTGATGGTTTATAGTAACCATGATGGAGGTTTTGACAATAATCTAACATCAATTCTATTTATTGAAACTTTTCTAGATAAATCGGGAGCTGAAAGATCACCTGAAGGAAACTATCACCCTTGTGGTTTATCATCAGCAGACAGGCACTCTGGATCCGATCACACCACAGATGATTGACAGGTCAGTGTAACATGTGATTTGAGACTTGCACAATAGTTTTGCAGATATTTGACTTCGATTTGACGATTCACAGGTTACTGTATTCATCAACAGTTCATCCAGTTCCCATTCCTAATTTTGAGAGTTTTTGAGTGTCATTTATACATCGAGCTTTATGTTTAAAAACATTATTAAAACACATTTACATCGATATCCAGTGTCTCATGCTTCAGGTACTAATGTAATATAAGACTTTTTATTGTATTTAACTGATTCTGAGTGTGGTGTGTTGCTAGGCTGAATGCCTGAACTGAAGGAAAAAGCAGCACAGCAGGACGGCATCCTGACAGCGTAGTTCACTGCACCTCAGTTCCACTCAACTACATGTGGAAACAGTGATGTTTTACATTCTACCAGATTTCATTGTATGATTAGTGAGTTTTATCATTATTAATAAGTCTGGCAGATTGAGATTAAAGTGCTTCTTGCCAAGCTTGGGAAACAAAAGGTATCCCGCCTACCTTACAGCACTGGTGCAGCAGGTCAAAGACCAGTTAGGCGTTCTTTATTTATGTCGGCTGAGCACTTTCCTTTACATAATATACTCCTCTTGCCCGTGTTGCAGGTCATTTTTTAAATTTCCCCTGAATATGCACTTTGGAATGCCCCTGTACAGACAGATGATTCCATACACACTCCTATGGATTCTTCCTAGCTGATTTTAGGCAGCTTCTGTTTCCAGCTGGAGGACTGGGCATTGAAACAAGGAATCAGAAATTAAAAAAAGTTTAACGATTCTGGGAGAATTGAAAGTTTAGAAGTTAGTGCCCAACCCTATCAACTGGGTTATCTTTTACGGAAAATTTATACATGTCCAAGATATTTGCATTGTGTTGGATGACGTGGTGTCGTAAAGATGGCTTTACATTACATGTTAAGAGGGCTTAGAGTTCTGTGTAACCATTTTTGTGGTCAGCATTTGGTTAAAATAATATGTTAATACTCAAACAGCTGTATTTGAGTATTCACATTTGGGTGGGTAGGAAGCTCTATCAGTTGCATGATAGATCTATTAACCAAAAGCAGCTTTACTCTGTACGGTATATAAAGGCCTTCACTCATTTGGAATCAGCTGTTTTTGTCACGTTTAATGTTTGGATCACACACCAAATTAGTTCTGTTTGTTTTCAACTGATAGTATTATTCAAAGCTCCCTAATTCAGTTTTCTTATGCAGACATGTTAATACCCTAACTTTTCTACTCCCCTACCAGGATGGTTGGCGATCTAACAGACGAGCATGCAGCTGATTGGGATGTTTACTTACCTGCCAAGGTTTTCAGTCTTTGCTTTAAACAGCATTTGGTAACTAAGGAGAGGCCTTTTTCTTTGCTGTATTGTAAGGGACTAGAGCCAATTCAGACCCCCAGAGGACTAGATGTAAGTTATGCTCTTTTCATTGTGATTAAACCATTATCTAAATAAATTTTTGATTAATTTGATACATTTTCTTCTTTCTGTGTTTTTAGTACGTTAACTCCAAGATCCAAGACAGCGCCTTTGTCGTTAGATAGATCTTCATTTGGTAAGTTTAGAAGGTTTTCTGTATTCTTAAATATTTTTTTTATTATTATTATGCATATCTTTATTTGTTTTATAAGAAATTTAAATAAAAATATGAAAACTTAATTGTAGGTAACTTGTTTTGTGTTGAATGTAACTTTTCTAACTATTGTTTTCAGGTCTTTTAGATAAGGAAGCAGTCTTTTTTCCCACTGAGGGGAGAGCAACAGGCGTCCTGTGGAGCAACATCACAGTCATGATGGATTGAAAAGGATGAACCTGTATTTGATTAACTGAAACTGCAGAAGAAAATGAAAAACTTTAAGAACTCCCAAGAAATTGTCTCGATTTTTTGGACATTTGGAAATAAGTTCTTTTTTTCAGGGGTAGTTAATATGGTGATGTTAGTTAATATTTTATGGTAGGGGAAGGCCCCTAAACTGACTGAATGTTTGAAAAATAACTTCTCAGACTCAGAGCTCTAAATGGTAAATTTCCCAACCACAGCTTCCCCCCCATCACAAACACCCTGGGAAAATCTCCAGAGATTTTGGGTGGTAAGGACTCGATATTTAATGTACTTAATATTGTTTGATAAACACATGTAATATTAACACTGTTTGTATAAGGACAGAATAATATCTGTAAAGATATTTAGTTATCCACATTTAGAATTTGTAAAATTACTCAGCTGATTTGATTCTGTTTTCTGAATCACCTCTGCAGACATGACAGCATGGGGTGATTTAGATAAATATGATGCAGAAAATTTGTTTGCAGATTTTCAGTATTATTTTTACTGTCAGCTTGGAGACTTTTTCAGGTACTTCTTTATGTTACAGACAGTGCCAAAATCATTACCTACCTGAATTGAATCAGTTGTCATATACGAGAAATCGCTTTCTGGAAATGTTGTTTTTTTTTGTTTTTTTTTAGATGTCCTTTATTTGAGATTGAATTATTTAAATTTAAGAGACACCAGATATTATCTCATTCGATTTTCTCATCTCTGCCATTGAAATGTTTTGTTGTACTATATCTTGAACAACTTGTATTGGAGAGTTCCAGTTTTTAATGTCAATTTATGACATTATGACAGTGCCTTTCAAATGTTTTCAATTAGTTGCTTAATTCAGTGTATTGTATCAGGATTTTGTATGAGACAAAACAATTGTGTGTAGTTGTGAAGTGGAAGGAAAAGAGACATGGTTTAAGTTTCTTTGTTGCTTTTTTTGTTTGTTTGGTTTTGATTTTAGTTTTTTTTTTTTTTTTTTTTTTTTTTTTAGAAATAAAAATCTTAAAAGACAGTTGCAGTTTGTCACATTTTCAATTCTAGCTCCAGAACATCCAAAGATGCTTAAAATTTAAATGCTTTAAATTGGTAAAGACTCTTTACCCAAAAGCAGATGTGCGTCAGCAGTAAGGAATGAGGTAGGAAAGACACTTTCAGAGGTAAGAAAAAGAAAATCCAGTCATTAACATCTGTGCAGATAGATATTGATGTGTAGAAATACCCATTTAGCAGTTTAAAAACAAAATAAAAAATCTGCAGCTAATAGAACGATAGTACACACTTATCTGGAAGAAAAGAATGAAACAAACACTTTACTTAAGTGGTCCTCCTTCTTACTAGACCTAAATCCTTAAAATACAGCCAGAATTATTATGTTATAGTTTACATCAACTAATAGTTGATTGTCAGACCATAGACCAGACCTTAATTAAACTGACTTAATGTTTGTAAAGCCTCCCCTTAAGTTGAGGGGTATAAACAGTGTCAAAGGATGCAGAGCAGGTGGAGACGTACACAGGAATACCTGAAACTACTTGTAGCAAAAGGGGCTTCAAAGTAAAGATTCAGTGCCTAAATACATACGCACATCACAGTTTTCACATTGACATTTAAAAGAAAATGGGAAATCCATTTAGAATTTTCTTTCCCTTCAAAACGCTGCTTTTATAAGCTTAGTTTGTTCTTACAGCTGCACAATACATGGTCATTGCATATGTGTTATACTGCATTTTCAAAGGATGATAGTGTTTGATAGCCTGTTATGCAATCAGCCAGTATACAACCAATCTGCTGTTTATTATGTCTGATTAGAGACCAAGTGACCACAATGATAACGATAAAAAATGAAAACTAGAGAAAATATAAGTTAATTTTAATCAATATCAGCACTGCAATATTTAGCAATATTGTTGTAAGTTCATATTTTCCTAATGCCCAGTAAATCACTGTTGAATAAATCAGGGTTGGTGGATTTAATAAGAAAGAAAGTTCAATATATTTGTAAATGGCCTCCATAGACACAAAGTCAGAAAGCTTTGCTCAAGAAAATCTTTCTTTTACTATACATGGAATAAAAACAAGTCTAAAAAAAGAACGATAATCACAGTAAATCCCAGAGGAATAATACAAAATTTTAAAAATCATCAATGCAAATTCCTAATCGTCTAATAATTGTAGTCACAGCAGAAAGGCTATTTTTAAGCTAATCAAATATAGACATGTCCAACACATGGTGATTATATAAATATTAAAGCTTATGGGCAGCTCTACAAAGGGTCATACAGGGGTTAGTGCCCCTGTAGAACCATGCATGGCCCCTTTTATGGCCGCTGTACTAAACACAAATTGAAATATACGTAAGGCCTTTTTTCTTGAAATTAGTGTTTTTTCATTTGATTTAAGCAACCAGGTTAGAAAAATTGCTAAAAGAATGAGATGAAGTATGTTTGAAATAAGAAGAAAAAAATCTATTAAATTATTTCAAGTGCAAAATATGTAATTATCTTCATTTTAATCACCATGATTACCTGCTCAATTAATTACAAATACACTTATTTAAAGAATTACGGTATTTACTTTTTTACATTTTTTTTTCAGTGTAATGGTACGTTACTTTCTCATGATGACATGGGCTAACAGAAGAGACTGTAACTTATTTTTCCCTTGGACCAGTTTAATATATTCTATTTACAATTTACTTCAACATTTATTAGCTTCAGTCATAATAAGATTGCAGGGAAACAGTTTTTAGCTGTTAGATCAAGAGTCTGCAACCTTGGCTTAATACACTAAATGGTATGCTCTTGCTCTGTTTTTGTTTCCTTTCCTTTTTTTGTATTGCTTATCCTACGACGAAGTATTAGGGCCAGGCTAGAGATTTTTATTTTTTTTTTATTTCGAGAATAAAGTCATAATATTAAGAGAATAAAGCCGTAAAATTACGAGAATGAAGTCATCATACAACAACCAGTTTCAGAAAGAAAGCTTTGACCTCTGATGAGCAGATTATGGCCGACCAGCTCCACCAAACAGCAACTTGAGTCCACTTTGACATCCTGCCCAATTTGATGCTGGTGTGTTAAAAGATTTTCTTATTTGTCAAACCAGAGCCAAAGTATAACTTCACATAATGCTTGACATTCCTCATTTTAGGGAAGAAAGTGCTGTCATAAAATCCAACTTGTTTCTTGTAACTTTAGGACTTTATTCTCTTTATATAACAAATTTATTCTCAAAATTTTACGACTTTATTCTCATTATTTTACAACTTTACTCTCGTTATTTTACAACTTTATTCTCGTAATTTTAAAAGTTTATTCTCATTATTTTTTATGACTTTATTCTCATAATTCTACGACTTTATTCTCGTAATTTTATGACTTTATTCTCGGAATTTTACGACTTTATTCTCGTAATTTTACGACTTTATTTTTTGTAATGTTAACGACTTTATTCTCCAAATTGAAGAAAAAATCTCGGCCCTAATACTCCAGCATAGTTATCCTTCTTGTTCTCTGCCCCATGAAAAAAACACAGGCCCCGCCCCATCTTGCCCTCCTTGTAAATATCTATAACCGCTCTGTTTAGGTCTTGGTTTTAAAGCAAGCATAGCAACTAATGACTAGGTGACCTAGAGCTTTTAATTAGTGGTGTAATACCACCATCTACTGGTAGACCGTGGCATTACATGTCTGAGACATCACGCTTATCGTTGTGGGGAAGTTTTTTTTTGTGTGAGCAGGCAACCGCAAGAAATGGTGAGTGAGGCAAACAGACTCGCTTCAGACTGTGTAACCGTGTTTAATATCGCCAAACCGTACTTGTTTTAGTCATTACACCCTTTGTAACTGACTACCGTTGTGCTTATATGTGACCAAACCACATTTAGCACCCAGCCTCAAGCTAAAAGCTAACGTCTTTGTTTGGCTAACCTGTGCTAACGGGGGCTAGCTTCCGCTTTGTAACGTCAACACACCAGCTGCACAGAGCTGTTTATAGTTCTCTGGTTTAAACTTTACTCGAGGACAATTTGTTCTGACATGGAGCAGATTGTTTAAGCATGTGAATTCAGTTTATTGGTTTATTAATGTGTATTTTTAATATGTTTGCTAAATTAGGACGAGGGAGCTAAGCAGATCGTCTAGCATTGATGGCTATTTATGTTTAAGAGCTCATAATGCTTTTAAACGAGACAGCCTAATAATAGAGTAGTCAAACGACATAAACTTGTAAGTTTGGGACGCTGTTGACGTAAAAAAAGACTGCTAATTTGTTAAACCACTAGCATAGGCTAACACTGTTTAAGCTAAGCTCCTTGATTAAACAACCAATAAAAGAACTGAGGCTATTTGATTTAAGAGATCAGTCTCTGATCGGAGGAACTACTGACGAACAGTTAATCCAAAGAGCACAACTGTTGAGTTTTGAATCCCTTAGCCTTTGAATGCATTACACCAGGTTCCGCTTAAAGGAATAGTACACCCAAAACATGATTAGCCTTCATTTTCTACTCACCCCCATGCTGAACAACACTCTGGAGTACTTTTTTGATATCTTAAATGCATCTGGAGATCTGGGAGGCTTATTGCTGTCTGCTGACATTCAAATAATGGAGGTCTATGGTGACCGAGACAGAAAGGTCCATAAAAGTCCACAAAAAACGTGTCAATATTCCTCCATACTGCTCGTCCAATGTATTCCAAGTGTCCTGAGTGGGTAGCATCCAGAATTTACTCGAAACGAAGTCATTTAGAATGTTTTTAGAGCATAAACAGTAGTGTATAGGATTTCCTGAAAGCGCGCACACGCGCGCTCACGACGCTACGGAAGCCGGCAGACCAAACCAGCGCATTCAGCTCGGCAAAGAACTCATGCTCTTCCTCAACACTGAAGTCCTCAGATATTTTTCTTTCGTTGTTTCTTTCTTTGCACAGGTAAACAGCACATTTCTTCTTCTACGCTTGCATTATTGGAAGAGCAGAGCTGAATGCGCACTTTAATCTGGTTTGATCGAATTTGGATTGATTTTGGTTACGATCTGGTTTGATCTGCCGGCTTCCGTAGCGTCGTGAGCGCGCGTGTGCGCGCTTTCAGGAAATCCTATACACTAATGTTTATGCTCTAAAAAAATTCTAAATGACTTCGTTTCGAGTAAATTCTGGATGCTACCCACTCAGGACACTTGGAATACATTGGACGAGCAGTATGGAGGAATATTGACACGTTTTTGTGGACTTTTATGGACCTTTCTGTGTCGGTCACCATAGACCTCCATTATTTGAATGTCAGCAGACAGCAAGAAGCCTCCCAGATCTCCAGATGCATTTGAGATATCAAAAAAGTACTCCAGAGTGTTGTTCAGCATGGGGGTGAGTAGAAAATGAAGGCTAATCATGTTTTGGGTGTACTATTCCTTTAAGGCTTAAAATAAAACTGAATTGAATTATTCATCTTGAAAAACTAATTCCTCAGAACTCAGTTTGTAATCTTCTCAGCTGTGATAAGAATCATCCTAAAAAAACACAGTACTTTGACCAGTCATATCAAAACGAGATCATTAAAAACTGTAATTGGTAATTAAAAAATTAAAATGTAAATGGTTTTAGGCATAAGACATACAATGGCACATATGAAAAAAAACAAATTCAATCTGGAGTAAAATGTTCCGTATTAATTATAAGTTTTGTGAAACAAAGTTTGGGGAAAAAGATTTGATGCATAGCCATTTTTAAACTGTTGGATCTGTAGTCAGTGTAGAATATATTGGTTGTTATTTCTGATTGGTTTTAAAGCTGGTAGTAAATTAAGGTGTCCTGTGTTTAAAAAGAAGCATTGAAATCAAAAACATTCAAATGTTTTTTTTAATAAACATAAAGATTGGAGTTATAAGCAATCTGTAATCAATGTAGAATTATTTAGTGTGAGCTTTATTTGTTGTGCAGTTATATTACTTTGATTATGAGTTTCACAATTTATTAAT